TGAGGAGTAGGGTTTAACAACCTCACTTGTTATGGTTAAACAACCAAACCTCGGTGATCAGGGAAGGTTTCCCCCCAGAATAAAATTAAGGCTGAGACTTAAAGGATGAGTACCAATTAGTCCTAATCAAGAGCCACTATTACTCTTCCTATATGGTCTGGGCTGACAGCAGTCTCCCTCCTTCACTTTGAAAGGCCCATACAAGAGGATTCAGCATTCTAGGATTACTCTTTACCCACCCACCATGGCTCACCTTTTGCAGCAGAGCAAAATCCAAACCCTTCACCAAATGGGTGTGTTCCATGTCACCACCCAAGAATTTGGATTCCTGGATCAACTGTCTTCTCTTCTCTGCAGCAGATTTGTCCCTGTATAATGAAAGAAGCCACATTAGAATAGTTATTTGTGAGTACCAAGTCCCTCTTGAAATAGCTCAGCCTGGGTTCCAAAGTAAGGCAAGTATTAACAAGAATTCACACTGTGATTGTAGGCCACCAGGATGCTGAGGGAATCCTGCCCTGGCAGCCTGGGTACTCACGCTTCAGCAGTGGGGCCCACAGCCCTGTAGTTAGCTGTGGTACTAATCAGCTCAGTTTCCTCATAATCTTTGTTGACGCCATCTCGCCGTTCCTTGGCACGGTCACGGTACTTCTCTGCTAGTTCCCTCTCTCTCTCAATCTCTTGTTGACGAAGCTTGGCATAATAACTGTGACCAGAGAAAAACAAACGTGTAAGGCTCACCAGCTGCTATCCCAAGGTCAGCAGAATTATTCCTGCCTGTTTTATCCAACTGTCTGGTGAAAGCTCATACACATCCTCATAGAACTGCTGGCCAACTCCAGATAGTCTTCAAAATCAGAATTATAGCATCTTCCAACTCAGAGATAGACTCTTTCAATGCTACCATGGAACCTTCCATCTGTCATTTCAGAATTCTTTAATGCCACACAACTGGTATCACTTAGTCTCTAAAGATATGAGACTTTTCTGTAGGGCAACAGGAAGTTATCTAAATTTTTATCACCTTCCAAATTTCAACTGAAAATCATTCCTGGGCCCCTGGGTGGCCCAGTTGGTTCAGCTATCTGCCTTCAGCTCAGGTCATGATCCCAGGGTCCTGGGATCAAGTTCCACATTAGGCACCCCGCTTGGTGGGGAGTCTGCTTCTCCCTCTGCCTCTCCCCACAACTCATGTTCACACTCAAAAAAAAAAAAGAAAGAAAAAGAAAATCATCCCTTGCTGGTCTTCCCCCAGAAGAGAGAACAGCAAAACACAAGGTCCAGAAATTTTAATATCTTATAAATAATCATGATGATGATGGTGATAATGGCAGATAAGATTTACTGGGTGGTTACAATATGCCAGGTACTGGTGCTAAGTGCTTATATGCACTACCACAGTTGATCCTCATGACAACCTGATAAAAGTTATGAAATCAGGGGCACCTGGGTGGCTCAGTGGGTTGAGCCTCTGCCTTTGGCTCGGGTCAGGATCTCAGGGTCCTGGGATCAAGCCCCCCATCGGGCTCTTTGCTTCCCCTGGCTCTGCCTGCCTCTCTGCCTACTTGTGATCTCTGTCAAATAAATAATAAAATCTTTAAAAAAAAAAAAAGTTATGAAATCACTCTACTCATGAGAATACTGAGGATTAGACATGTTAGGGAATATCCCCATGGTTATCCAGCTAGGAACTGAAAGATAAGATTAAAATACTGCACTGACTCCAAAGTCCTAAATTGCCACTCTGCCTATCATTCTTCTCCACTAAACCAGAGAACCTCAGATAATAAAGGAAAACCTTAATCTCCAGCCTCATAGTAACTACTGACCTCCATGCCTTTAAAAAAAATACTGTCCACCTTACAGTCCAACACTCCTTCATCCTTCCTTTACCTTTTCTTTTTTCTCCTTCGTGCAGCTGGATCTTCATCCTCATTGTACTCTCTTGGCATCCTAGAAGAGAAAGAAATTCACTGATAGCAAAATATTGCCACAGCCCCAGAAACCCCCACAACTGGCTTTGAGGACTGAAGAAAGGCCCAGAATATGGAACAAAGCAACAGCTTCAACCATGCAGAGATCCAGACCACTATTTGTAGGTGAGTGTTTCTAAGCTTTAGAAAACAGCAAAACCACCTGAAGCACTATTAAAATTCTGTATCTCCCAATATCTACCTCAGCATCTGAGTTCCTAGGGCTGCAATGGACCCTGAAATCTGCCCATTTAAGCACTAGTGGCATTCTATTAGTACAAGTGGTATGTGGAACGTACTCAGATCTTAGCACACTCTAGTCTTCACTGGAGCTTCAATCTCCAGAGAGGGAGAATCAGAATTATAGGCTTCAAAAAAGAACTAGCCTTCCAGTTCATACAACATCTAGTTCAGCAGATTCTGTAGCAAGGAGATGGGAGACAGGTTGGAGGACCCCAGAACTTACTCATGGTGACGTGACTTAGAGGGCGGTGCAGAGGTGGGTGCAGCCCTTGGAGTCATGAGAAGTTTCCTAAAGTCTTCATTGGTGAGTTTTGATCTAGAAGGCAAAAATTTTAAAAATTAGTAGTACCCAGTAAGAATCAAAAAAGGAGTATGTTAAAAACCATGGTTAACTTTACTAGAAATTAAGAAAGTACAAATTAAAAAAAAAATGCCACTTTTAATGCATCAGAGTGTTGACTATTACAAAGTCTGATAAATCAAGTATGTGTGAGAATTTGTAAAGTGAATATTCCACTGAGAGGCACTTAAGTCAGTACAGCAAATGTGAAAGCAATTTGGCTGTATCAAAATTTAAGTGTGTATATCCTATGACCTAGCAACTCCATTCACCTATATTTAGCTTTGTTAATTATTGGCATAGGAGTATAAAAAGGCGTGTAAAGGGGCACCTGGGTGGCTCAGTGGGTTAAAGCCTCTTCCTTCGGCTCAGGTCATGGTCTCGGGGTCCTGGGATCGAGCCCTGCATCGGATTCTCTCTGCTCAGCAGGGAGCCTGCTTCCCCCTCTCTCTCTACCTGCTGTTCTGCCTACTTGTAATCTCTCTCTCTGTCAAATAAATAAGCAAAATCTTTAAAAAAAAATTATTAAGAGAAAACTGGCTAGCCATTAAGGGTAGGGAAAAAGGAGCTTGACTTGATCTATTTGATTACTTAAGGGGACTCTCCATAAAATGGCTTAACAGCATTCTTTGCTTAAACTGAACCTAATAGGCCTTGTCAAAAATGGATCCCAGAGAAGCTTGATGAAATTCTAGTCAAGGCAGGGTCCTTGGGGTGCCTGGGTGGTTCAGTCGGTTGAGTGTCTGACTCCTGGTTTTGGCTCAGGACGTGATCTCCAGGTCCAGAGATCAAGGTGTAGCACATCAAGCCTGAACCAGGTTCCATACTCACTGGGGAGTCTGCTTCCCCTCTCTCTCTGCCCCTCCCCACTGCTCACACACTCTTACTCTTTCTCGCTCTCTGAGATAAATGTGTTTAAAAAAAGGGGGGGAGGGAGTCTTTGTCACTTATGTGAAAATAATTTTTAAGACCATGAGTGGAGAAATTAAGCAAGTAGCAAAATGATATAATATATAATACAATGTCACTTAATTTTAATACTTCAACTTACAAAATAATAATATATCTTCCTCAGACGGTATGCATATAAATGGATTTTTAAGTAGGAAAAAAGACACATATGAAAAGGAAAAGGAACAGCAGTTACCTCCAAGAAAGGGACTGGAACTGGGGATGTTATCAAAAAGAACATTACTCTTACTTCTACTTTAATTTTCTACAAGAATAAATTCCTGTATCATGTATAATTAAACATTAACTTTAAAAACTTGCACCCTCCCAGCCAGAACTTCCCCTCTAATATTCTTATGCAGTCGACCTTATCCAGCTAAAGTTCAGAGATAAAGGCTCATGAGGTACAATTTTTTTCACCATCCTTTTTGACAAGACATTTATAATTCCTTCACCATTTCCACACCACTCTATTCATACCCAGTTCATACACTTTGTCCTATATTGAAATACTCACTGGTGGAAGGAGTGAGGATCATCCACATCGTGGCCATCTGGAGCCAAAGGGTTGGAGAAAGGCTCGCCTTAAAATAAGTAAATAAATAAGCAAACAAACAAAAACCCCTGGCATTAGTTTAATAAATCTATTTCGTGTCAGTTCCTGTGCAAAAGTTGGGACTTCCACTCTCTCTCTGCCTATATTAGTGAACAATACTGATGTTTTCACGTAAAACTGCTATATTAGTTGGGACTGTATTAGTGAATACTGATGTTTTCACGTCAAACTGCTCCCATTCTAGTGAGGAAGAAAGGCAAAAGCAGCAACAGTGACCACACAAAGTAGTAAGTACCCAAGTGAGAAAATACAAGGAACTCTTGGTGCAAAGGAGGGGGCCCCTAAACCGGCGCTGGAGGATCAACAAATACTTCCGGAAAATGACATCCAAGATGCTGCGATTAAGATAAACTGGCGCGACCCAAGATTAAGTGCGGGCGGTAGGGGCTACTTCACAGACAATACACACCCGTCGTCACTTGGGGCTAGGACAAAGCTTAGAGACAACAGTCCGGAGCTGCCCGGCTTCATTTGATACCAAAGGGCTTCGCCAGATTTCCACCACCCGCACAGTGCTTAAACTCTGAAGCGAAAACAACACTCCAAGTGTCCCAAGTCCTGTAGGTAATAAAGGACAAATGACCCGAGCCTTACTGTCTCGCTCTGGCATTTCGTCGGCGGTGTTTCAACGCCAGCAGGAACTGAAGCTCCAAAGACAACACAACCAGGACAAGATTTTTCCCACGATGCACCTCAGGAACAATCCCACAGTGCTTTGCGCTCCGCAGCCCTTCCGCCTCCGCCCACTCGCGGAGAAAATGGAAATAAGCGGAACTCGCCTTCTGCAATGCTTTTAACACATTGGCTAAACTTTACCCCGCCCCCCGTACGACATCTAACTATCGCGGGAACTGGCAGGGCCGCGATTGGCCAGATTGGAAAACTTGGCCGGAAGTCCGAGGGCGGGGAGTTAGGCAGTGGAGGAGATGGCGGCTGCAGCAGCGAGTCGCGGGATTGGGGCCAAATTTGGCCTCCGTGAGATTCGCCTCCACTTGTGCCAGCGCTCACCCGGAAGCCAGGGCGTCAGGTGAGGTGCAAGATGGTGAGCCGGTAGGCTTCGGGGCGCCCAGGTCATGACCTCTACCTCCCGGATGTTTGGGGAGTCTCGCGCGTAGACAGCACGCACGGCTTTCTCTCCCCCTCAATAGGGAATTCATCGAGAAACACTATGTGGAGCTGAAGAAGGCGAACCCCGGTCTGCCCATCCTAATCCGCGAGTGTTCTGATGTGCAACCCAAACTATGGGCCCGCTACGGTGAGCGGGGAAGCGGGCAGTTTGGGACCCCGATAGGAGAACAAGGGTTGGAGAAGAGAAGGTCATCCAGGGTCACACAGAAACCTGTAGGGATCCTGGAACTCGGACTTCGGCCTTGCTTTTGACGTTGTTTCAGATAAACCTACATTCGTGGGGTTGTAGAATGCTGGTGTCTCGAGTAATACCAATATGGAGGCGGGCCCTGTCCTGCATAGGGACCAGGAGCTGTTGGTTTCGTAATTAGAAACGGGGTTCATATTGGGAAGTGATGCTCATTAATTCCCATCGAAGTGGGTCTTTACACATGACGTGTGGTCAGTGCCGTTTCAGGTAGTGTGAGAATCTCAGTAATACAAGCTTATGCTCTGTTGATGTTAAGGTTAATGTTAAGGTCTGCGTTGAGTACTTCCTTGTCTAAATCTCATTTAATCTTCATTAATTATATGAGGGGGTGGATTCTTCTTTTCTTACTGTAGAGGTTAGAACGGTGAGTCAAAAATTTTACCAAACAGGGGCAGGTGCTGGTTCAGTAAGTAGAGCATAGGACTCTTGATCTCTGGGTCAGGAGTTAAGCCCCATGTTGGGCATAGAGCTTACCAAAAAAATTTTTTTTATGAAACATACCTAAGATTACATAGCTAGGATACAATAGCATTTAGCCTTTACACCTGTCCCCCCTTTCTAGGATGAACTTCTACCAGATTTTCATGGCTAGCTCGTTAGAATTCATGTTGTTGTTATTCAGGTCTGAAATTATTTATCACCTCCTTAATAAGGTATTCCCTAGCAAATCATATAACATTATGATTAGCTCCTTTTTATTATATTAAGTTTACCACAGTCTGGAAATTATGGTCATGTTGCTTGACACATAGTAGGCCTTCCTCTAGGAATGTCAGGGCCGGGAGAAAATAAGTCATACCTAACGTTAACTGGTTCTAACAGTGGATAACTGCAATATATGTTAAAAAATGTTTGTAGGAGGAAAAAGCCCGTAGACTAGGGGAGATGGATGCAAATTACTTTAGTGTTTTATACTAGGACTGGCACAGAATTGGCATCCAGCCAAGGCTAGGCCCAGGCAAAGCACTGTTGTGGCTAATAATAAATACCTTACCAGGCCCCTAAAAACTGCCTTGAAATGTCTTCGTTCCCATGGTGGCCACCCAGAATCAGCCAAAATTCTAGTTGGACCTGGGCTTCCTAGATGTGTGAGACCCCCTGGATAAACTCTAGACATCCCAAATATACCTTGGTCATATCTCTGTACTACTTTTCTCACCCTAACAAGACTGTAAGTTGAAGACAAAGACTTTTATTAATATTTTGGTAGTCCCACGGTGTATACTAGATATTTAGTCCCTATTCTCTCTCCCCAGCATTTGGCCAAGAGAAGAATGTCTCTTTGAACAACTTCAGTGCTGATCAGGTAACCAGAGCTGTGGAGAATGTGCTAAGTGGCAAAGCCTGAAGCCTCCACTGATTAAGAGCAACAGCCCCACAGTTTGGGCTCTGTTGGACCGAGTACAATGTGAAAAAAGTGTTCTGTTCTGTATAAAGCTTGTGCTGAAAACGCCATCTCTGTATGTTCTTACCCTCATTTTACCCTCTACCCCGTATCACGCAACCACTGAGGCAAAGCAGTTTACTATAAAAATAAAACTTTATTCTGTCCTGGACACAGGAGCAGAGAATATGAGATGTCATTATGGTTCTAAATCCTCAAAAGGGGATCCAGGGGCAAGGAAATTGAGAGGTGGGGGGAGGCGATGAGTTGAATGAGTGATATCCAGAAGCCAGGTCACCTGTGAAGAGCGGTCTTCTGGAGAGCATGCACACGATCCTGGAGCTGTGCCTCTTCCTGATGCTTTTCTAGGACCTGAAGCCCTGAATGCTGCAGAAATGCCTCCACAGTCTGAGGCCAGGGAAAAGGATTCATCACCCGAGTTCTTGTGCCCCAACACTAGATTCCCACAGTCTTACAGGTTAGCCCACCTCTATTTGGAAGAGTGCCTTCCCAACCAGAGGCTGCAAGTTCTGAACTGGAGTCCACATAGGCTTGCCAGGCCCAGAAAAGTGGCTATAGATAGGATGGAAAGGGAAGGGGGCCATGGTGAGACTACAGGCCTCAGAATAGGGGTACCAGGGCCAAAACTCACCTCTGGCCGATAGAGGAACAGCAGATGCAGGAGCTCTAAACTCTGGCCTACTACTTCAGTGTCAGAGGAGGCCAGTGTGCCCATCAAGCAGGGGAGCAAGGGCCCTGGCCATAGATGTTGGCAATAAGCAGGACCCTTCTCTGCCACGTTGCACAGAACTGTGAGCACCTACAGAGAGACATGTATACACAGTCCCCACAAAGGATGAAAACTAAAGACTAATCATAGAACTAAAACATATGGAGTGTTGATCATGTGGTCAGGCACCATGCCAATCACACACATGTTTTGTAATCCTCATAGCTGCCTCAGCACTGCTATTCTCACATTACACACAAGAAAACTAAAGTTCAAGGTGGTAAGCTGATCTGCCCAAGGTTAGTAACTAGTAAAACAGGTTAGGGAGGGGCGCCTGGGTGGCTCAGTGGGTTAAAACCTCTGTCTTCGGCTCAGGTCATGATCCCAGAGTCCTGTGATAGAGCCCCACGTTGGGCTCTCTGCTCAGCGGGAAGCCTGCTTCCCTTCCTCTCTCTCTGCCTACTTGTGATCTCTGTCTGGCAAGTAAATAAATAAAAATCTAAAAAAAAACCAAAACAGGTTAGGGATTCACACCTGACTGAACAGGTTTGGCCCTGAAGCCGTCCACACCACACCACCTGCCAGTCCTCAGGTAAGGGTACTTCTGAGTGCAAAGGCCTGCTCCCAGTGTTTTTACTTTGGCCATAAGATCCAGGACTTAAGTGACCCCAATACCTACCAATACGCTCACCACATTAGAGACCGGCAACAACTGCAAAAGTGGCTTGATCAGATCCATGGAGAGCAAGGAGGTACAGAAACTAGGACTATTTGCTGGAAGGGAAAATGTCAAGGTAAAGTCCCTCAAACAGGGACCTGAATCCGCAACCTGCCCCCAGTCCTACCCACCGCAGCCCAGGCAATGAGGAAGCATTCCCAGAATCTAAAGGTCTAGGCCAAGGCACATTATAGTACATACCAGTAAGGTTGTTGAGGAGCCAAAGGCACTCAGGAAGCAGGCTGGGCTGTTTCTGGACGAAGAACTGCAGAAGGATATATAAGGCCGCCACCACACGCTCATCTTCAAGCTGATTTGACCCTCCCACAACCTCCACTGCTGCTTCTGTTAGCAAGTTGCTTAGACACCGAAGTACAGGGCATAGCAGCTGAAAAGACAAGTTGGGAGTACAGCGTTAAGGGGAAAGGGGTTACCTACATAGTAGGTAGCAAAGTAGGAAGAAAGGTAGCCCAGATCTTGACCTGTCCTCTTCACCTACCAACTCCAGTCCTGCATCCTCAGTTCTCTGGACAGCCCCAGCCACGTCCAATAGCAGCAGCCCCAGAGTGGATAGACCCCCTTGGGAGATAAGCAGGGCATTGTTGACCTGGCTAGGCAATAAAAAGCAAGTACTCAGTCAATCCCACCTTGAGGATGGCAAATGGCCTAGAGTGATGGGTTTCCTGGGGTCCAAGCAGAGAAGACCACAGGAGGAAGAAAACTCACTGCAATTCCAGAAACCAAAGTTCAAAAACCCTAGGGTCTGGAAAGGAGCCCCAGGGCAAGTCTGTGGCACTTTTGCAAATGGTCTGTGTTACCTGCAGATGATGTAGTGCAGGCACCAGGCAAACTCCACAGCAACCCCAGGGTTTAGCTTTGGTCCAGGTTGCAACAGTTGTAGGATATGCTGGGGGAGAGTGGAGCCCAAGACGGAACTGCCAACAGGAGAGTTTTGAGTTGGAACCACAGAAGGCAAGATGCCAGTCATTCTTCCCAAACCCTAACAGCAGGTGGGAAAGTATCCAAATCCAAACCTCTTCCCAGCCAGACACAGAGCTAAAATGTGCACCGGTTTCGGAAACAATACTCAATCTGGTGTCCAGGGGCTACATCATCAAGTAGGTCACACGTGCCTCCACATCTGGAGATAAAATTTTACTTACGGGATGATCATCTCTGGAGCTTCCTTAGCTTGCAGAAGCTGGGACAAGGCATATCCAAGGGCTTCCAGCACAGTCAGATGGGGAGACTAGAAGTAGACAGGGTAGAGATCTGACTCTGGAAGCTGGGTCATAAGATTTCCTGTGACTTTCAATCCCTTAGCACAGGGCAGAGGCTGGAGCTGCCTAAACAAAGCAGGGGGCCATGTAGGGACAAGACAGGGGAGGGCTGCCCAAGGAGGGAAAAAGCAGATGGATGCTCACCTGGATGCAGGCAGCCAAAGCAGGAACAATGCCCTGTGGCAGGAGCCGCCTTCTCACAGCCTCACTCTCCACAATCAGGTTACCCAGTGTATACAGACAGAGCTCCTGAGAGTGGGACAACAAAAGCACGGGGCATGGCCTGTCTCAGGCTAGGGTGGGGTGGGAGAGCAGAGGATGAAGTCTTCCCTTTGATGCTCTGGGTAAAAGGGAGTGGAAGGTGATGGGCATATGTATGGCTATGGACATCAGGGGAAACAAATTTTCTTCTTCCCCCTATGTGCCAGCTCAAACTAAACCCAAAAGCACAGTATTTAAATCCAAGTCAAGAACAAGGTAGGAAGGGAGAGGGCTTACTATAAAGTCTGAGCTGTGACCGGAGAGGTAGGTGAGAAGGTAGGAAGTGGCTGGCAGGCAGGCCTCAGCCACCGCAGACTGCTCGGAATGAGAGAGCTCATGAAGGCACCGAGCGGCCTCTAGCTGCAACAGGGCTCGGTTGCTGGTCAGAAGCCCAACCAGGGTCCGCATGCTGCCCTCCAGCCTACATGAGTGAGTACCAGAGCCCTGCTCAGCCTGTGCCCCATCCCCTCCACACTCCTGTCCATCCCTCAGAGGCCCGGGCCCCACTCACCACCCATACTGACCAGATGAAGGTTTGCTGCGTCTGAGGGTGCTGCAAGCCTCGACGAAGGCTGACCAGAGCTCGCTCTCTCTGCTTTTCATCTGTCCCCCGCTGTGCTAACTGGAGGAACTGCTGGATCTGGAGTGCAGGGTAGGAAGAGGAGTGATGGAAACAAAGTTGCCAGAAAGCAAGCATGAATCCTACTCTGTTCACCTCACCTGTGAGCACTCTAATGCCGCAGCATCCCTAGAACTTGTCATTCAGGCTAATATGGCTAATAAGCATCAATCTTGCAGTAGAGTAGACAAAAGGAGTAATCAGAACTGGGTTTAATACCAGCCCTGTGACTTACTTTATAAGGAACCTAAACCTCAATTTTTCACCTGAAAAATGGGAATAACATATATCCTGCCTTCTTACAGAGTTATTTCAAGGATAACATTTAAATCTTTCAGTCTGGCACAAACTTATCCCTCTAGCCATTCTCCCCACGCAACCTATACTCCAACAGCACCCAGCATAACATGACTTGTTTTTTAATGCTTCCAAGCTTTTGCATGATCTATTCCTTCTGCCTGGGATATCATCCCCAGGTCCTCCACTCCCTTCAGATTTCTGTCCCTCTTTCTAGCTTCCTTTCACAGACTTAAGGGTTTCTATTGTGCCTCATGTTTCCTGCATGACAGGTGGTAACATGCCTGTCTTCTTCACTGGGCTGCTGCAAGTACCACAAAGAAAAGGACTCTCCTCATCTTTGTGCACTTCAGTCCCCAGCACAGTGTCTTGGCATGAAGTAAGCACACAATGAACCAACAAACCAATGGTATAACCTAGACATGAGTGCTTTTGTAAACAATATATGTAAACATAGACAATATAAACAAAGGGGATGCCCAATGCTTGAATGAATAAATCAGCTAAAACTAACCATTTCATTCACTTAGTCAATAAATAATTACCATCTACTATATGCCAGATACTATAGGGCATCTGAGTTTTCAATGACAACAAATAAGACAGGGTCTAGATTCCCAAGGATTTAAAGTCTAGTTGGAGAAACAATAAACAAACAATTAGTATGATTAATATTCTGCAAACAGGCTGTCAAGACAGAATACTAAAAAGGACCCATTTTTAGACGTAGCAATTGTAAAGGCCTTGCGACAAGAAAGACCCTAGCATATTCTTTCAAAAACTGAAAAGGGAGAATTTTGGCTAAGATGAGTAAACTGGCAAGGTTAGAGCTAGGCAAACGTTAGACCATTCATCTAGGAAGGAAGGATTTTTACTTTTTATTTTTTTAAAGATCTTCTTTTTAAGATTTTATTTATTTCAGAGAGAGCACAAGAAGGGGGAGTAGCCAAGTGATAGAGAAAAGCAGGCTCCCTGCTGAGCAGGGAACCAAATACAGGACTCGATCCTAGGATCATGACCTCAGCTAAATGCAGACCTCTAACCGACTAGGCCATCCAGATGACCCAAAGATGTATTTATTTGAGAGACAAAGAGAGAAAGCCCGCACAGAAGAGCGACAGAAGGGGAGGGACAGAGAATCTCAGGCAGACTCCATACTGAGCACG